TTCTCCTAAAATGAAAATGCTGGGGCTGACACCCTGCAGGGTTTCAGAGCAGTTCCCATGTCAGGTCACAGGTAGGTCATGCAACATCTATCAGGCTGGTGGCCAGAATTTCCATGTACAGGAGCACAAACCCCAGAGGAACACCTCAGGTAGAAATATAGCATTACTCTAAGATGACATTTCAGAAAATCAAACTTCATGACACTTGATACTGCCTGGTTTTCAGCAGCAGGAGTTGATATTCCCGATCCACGACCTTTGCATACTGCCCTAAATCTCTCAGCACCAGGGACAGGGCTGATCAGGACAGAAACAGCTCTGTCACCGCTGGCACTCGCTGCCCTGATGCGCCTCAGAGCAGGGAACAACCCTCCAGCAAACACAAAGACTAGTTTTCTCATCACCAAAGTTTTTAACTCGTCCTGGTGCATCTGTTTGCTAATCCCACCCATGTGGGACTAAAACTGGCATTTTGAAGGAGTGCCCTTGCCAGCAGCATTCCCAGTTGCAGTGTTACATCAACCTGCCTGGGAGGAACCAAGTGACACCCCTGCACCTGCAGGTGCCAAGGAACCCTCTGAGCAGTGCCAGTCCTCTTCGATTTGTCCACCAGCAACTACAACACACACAAGAAAACTCTGCACTGTTGAGAATAAGGTGGTATATGAGCACTCCTGCTGTGCCCTTCATAAATTTAGAGATAATTAAAGCTTTTTAAGGTGACTGCAGGTTGAACCAAACCACTCTGTGATTTAAGGCCAGGATCTATTTGTCTGTTGTGTCTTTCTTGCAGGTTCCTCTTGTTGCGAGCACAGCAGAATTTGCATGGTATAAGCACTCTTCATAAATTCCTGCTTTCCATAAATTGCCTGTCGGATCAAAAGCAGAGCCTCCATGCAAGAGCACAGAAATCTCCAGCCTTTGATTTGGAACAGATGAGGCACCCTATGTTCCTCCAAGATTAAAAAAACCCCGTTGGCACAGAATACAAGAGAGAGGAGCAAAGGGACGACGTGAAACCTTTCAAAACAAAGGAGACAGAAATTCAAAAATAGTACAAGCAACTCAGATGACAGATTGAGAAGAGGATGAACTGCAATTAAAAAGACAATTTCATGTCCAAAGAGGATGCTCCAGACACCAGTTAGAAAACTGAGACTCTCTGGACTAGCAGTGAGCTGAACCCAATATAATACAGTCTTCTGATAGGAAGGGAAATTGAGGCAAACTTCCAATTTCATTTTTGTAATGTAGTTAAAGACAGTTACCTCTATCCATGACGTCATAAGTGCATTTCCAAAACAAAGGAAGGGAAATAAGTGTGAACCAAACCCAGGAGAAAATAACTAACTCAGCTGGAAACTGCAGGTCTCTCATTCCTTGAGCTTATTGAATGGGTGACCAAGGAAAATGATGACACCATTAAAATAACACAGCAGTCTAATCACAAAAGCCAGTCATGGAAAAAAAAAAAGTGTACTTTTTTCTAAATATTGGAGAAAAGTTTTTCTATAGAAAGGAATAAAATTCAGAAAATTCTGTAACTTTTATATTTAAGCCTGTCATATCAAATCATCATGAGCTATCAGAAGAATAAATAGCAGTGAGGAAAGGTAAATTAGTTGAGGCATGACCTGTGTGCCCACGAGAGTTGACCCAAAGTAATGAGACAAGCCATGCTCAGCTGTGCAGGGTCAGGACACTAGGCAAGTAGAAAGCACATTTCATTAAGAAACAGCTAGAATGCTTCTGCTTTCACTGTGTTTTGACCTTGGGATGCTCGGCATGTGGTAACTACACCAACGGGGAGAAAATCCGTTTCTTGCTGAGAAGGCATGTTTAAAGGGTTAATATATTTGCAGATAATAGGCTTAGGACAGTTGGAGTCTAGACTGCTGGCAAACACAGATGAAAGGACTTTAACTGAGGTTTTGGTTAGGGTTGTTTTTTTCTCCCCTCAAGTTGCAGAATCACACAGAAAAGTCAGTGCAAGATCAGGGCCTCGGAGCCCGAACCCCTCTGAGCAGTGATTCATCTCTACATTAGACTCAAACTCACAGTACATTTATTTGACAACTTTGATACCCTCACATAATAGGTCACACTGATGCGAGTGAACCAAACCCTACTGAACTGTAAGTTCAACAAGCAGGTTTCAATCAGGGAAGGGAAAATCACTGCAGAGAGAAGGCAAAAGCCCAGAATTTGCTCTCTAGAAAAGCAACTGGTCGATACTGTTCTATACCATGTACTCAGGACACTGTCAAGTCTAGGACAAACTTATATCTACTCTTGAGGCACAATTTGCATCCTTACATCTGTCTTTCTACATTTTGTACAAGTCCTGGGTCCTTTAAAAGGACCCAGCAAAGAACCGAGGTCTAAGTCTTAAAACTTTCCCTTGTGTCCTGGTTCAAGAGAAAGGAAAAGAGCAGGAAATACAAAGAAGTCAGAAGACCTGAAGGACATAAAAGAGGAGCACGCTTACCCCTCCATCTCATAAAGCAAGAACAATGCCCAGATACCACAGTGACTGGCATTCATTACATAAAGAAATGGCTTAATTAGCCATAACCATGGTCAGCTAGCAAATGTTAAAAGGTCACTTGATACTAATTGTGAACAAGACAAACTGAGCTGCTTAAAGAAAACACTGTCATGAATAATTTCCCAGGGCTTAGCAATTCCGCGTGCTTCTGTAAATTGCTCTTCTCTATTATGGTTGAAAAGCATTCTGCTAATTATTAATTGGATAATGATTTGTTTCTATCACTAATTCAATAATGTGTTCAGAAGTGCATTTTGAAAGTTCCCAGCTCTAGAGACCATAAATAGCAGACTTATCCTGACATGGTTGGAAGGCAGGTCCCAAGTGATGGAAGTGGAGCCTATGGAGCTTTCTGCCTGTTTTTAGGCACTTTGCACCAAAGTCACTGAAATGTCCATGTCCTCTAGACATGGTCTAGAGACCAAGGGAATGCAGCTGCAGGAAACAGAAGGTGCTCAGCAGCAGGTAGCTTATACATCCTGAGTATTAAACAGGGTTCAATAAGCTGGAGATCAATACCCTTAGCAGGGTATCCAGAAGGTAGAAACATCTCAGCCCTCCTTTACATCCCACTTCCAAACCTAGGGGTCTTCAGAGCACTGTGTAAATGGAATGCAGGAGGAAGGACAATAGGAGAGGACTCTGCTGTACAGCACTGACCACCCCTCTGTTCTGTGACATGGGCCCTGTGCCAGGGTGGTGTTGAAATCATTTCTGCTCACATAAAAAGCTGAAGGCAAGAAAGCCAACAATAATACTCTGGAGCTACCACTCCCTACTACCTCCCTAAGAGAAGCCAGACCATTAAAAATGCCACATAAATATCACTGACAGAAAACAGGCTTCAAGGTTATTCAGAAAAGCCCCAAGCATAGACAACCTCCCCTTTTTAGTAGTGATAAAAACCCCTGAGTTTCTCAAAAGAGCAAGTCAGGCCACAGGCAAACCCACCTTTCAAAACCCAGCAGCTCCCTTTTTGCAGAAGAAAAGGTAATGTGGGGGAAAGGTAGAGCACTGCTCCTTGATGGGCCACAGAGGCATAATCAATTGGCACAAAAGCACATTGTTGAAACACAAACCATGGAAAGCTGCTTTATGAACCCGTGCAGCCAGCTGGAACTGCCATCAACAGCTGCGAGAGGAATTCACTCCAGGACTGAAGCACTTCATTAGGGTGGAGGTTTTTTCCCTTTTATTACATCCAGCTCAGGCTGCTGATCCTCATCCTGAGGACCCTCCACAGAGCAGCCCCACTGCTTCTCCGCTCTCTGAATGTTCATAGTTCAGACTGTATTACTTAATCGTGTCCTGAAACATCATTTCTCCCTCTCCCATCATAAGCAGCCTTCCAACCTACTACATCCCATTGTGTGGTGTCCCAAGCCTTCTGACCAAGAGAGCAGTAGTGTTTTGGGGGCAGCACAGGTATAGAATCTGCTCCTAAGAAAAAGGCTTGTTTCTGTGACAGGACAAGGGGCAATGGCTTCAAAACGACAGAGGGCAGGTTTAGATTAGATATTGGGAAGAAATTCTTTACTGTGAGGGTGAGGAGGCCCTGGCACAGGTTGCCCAGAGAAGCTGTGGATGCCCCATCCCTGGAAGTGTCCAAGGCCGGGTTGGACGGGGCTTGGAGCAATCTGGTGTAGTAAAAGTTGTCTCTGCCCATGGCAAAGGGGTTGGAATTAGATGACCTTTAAGGTCACTTCCAACCCAAACCATTCTATGACTGAAATGAACTGGAAGAAAATATCTGAACGGAATGACATTTCCTGCTTGCTCTGCTTTTAATTCTGCCCACTTTCTGTTTGATATCTGCAACTTGATTATACATGAGATATAGGTGGACAGAACCCCAGCAAGCAGGGATGTGAAAATTCTTATTGTGTATCAATTTCAGCTTAAGACTGGAGCATAACTGCAAGGAGGAGACCACTGGCTGCCACGTGCACTTGGCATGAGGGACAGCAGGTGACATCACAGGGATTTTGTAATTAAACACAATTGTCTCATGAAAATTCCTAATTCCTTCATTAAAAACAACCATACAAACCTCCAAAATCAGTGAAAGGAAATAAAAATTTCTAAACAAGTAAAAGCTGGAGTAGGAACTATCTTCAAACAAAATGCTGCTTGAAATACACCTTCTCTTAAGCTTATACTTTCATGGGATTTTCAGAGAAATAAAAGAAATGCCTCTGCTATTCTGACAGTGTGGCCAACTTCAGCCCTCTTGTACTTCATTTCCATTGCAGAATGTGGACCCTCATATTGAGGAAAACCTCAGTATTAAAGAGCAATAAGAAGATATTCGAAGAACCGCGTTCAACACCTGCGGCAAACTTGTGAGAGCTACTGGGGCAAGTCACAGCTACGACAAGCTCCACCTGTGAGCCAGGGAGGGCTCAGCACCGGGGCTATTTACACGTGTGGGAGCTGTTTTAAATCTCCTTACCGGAACTGCTACAGCGAGACGGCTCCACGAGTCTCCCGGTCCCATCGTAGCAGGCGATGGCTCGCAGCCGCACGCCCTCCCCGCACTCCTTGGACACTCCCTGGGATGGCATTCCCAGCTGCAACTCGGATGGGCCTCCTCTGATAATGCAGTCGGACCAATTGCCGTGGGGCTGGGAGGTGAACACCTCGCAAGGGCACGGCTCTGTTTCGACTTGAGGATAAACTTCTGTGTTCTGGCATTTGTCTCGCTTTCTGCTTCGCCCTGTTGCAACCACAGAAATCTGTTTGTTAGCTTAACATCTGCTACTCTTGATAACAACACGTCATATTATTTATACTTGCATGAATTCAAAACATTAGAACCAAGACAATCTGAATGTTAATATCCAGGAATGTTCCTGAAGCATCTATTAGCTGCTGCCAGTGCCCTGGTGAGCAAGGACAGCGTATTTATCTCCAGGGGCAACCAGAGAACGTGGAAATAGTGTTTTGATGGGTAGATCAAGGAGCAAAATATGAAATCTTACTCTAGGAATGGGCTGCCCAGAAACTGCTTTGCAATTTCATATAATATTGTTTTCCCCTAATTATCTGATGAAAATAAATTGATTGTTTTGTCTCTATTTGCTCACAATCAATGGTTGCCAGGACAACTTCCAGAGGACTCTACATTAGCCACAACTTCCTCTTTGAGGCTTCTTTACAAATTAGTTAAAGATGTGCTGTGCACACAAACTGTGCTTTGACGAAAACAGAAGAAGATAATCCTCAGTAAATTATTAGGGCTGGAAAGCATTTCAGTGGTTACATTTGCTTTTATGTTTTCCTTTGGTCTATTCCTTCAACAGGTTCTAAAAGAAGGCTCTTTCAATAGTTTCAGGAAGCAGCAGCATCCAAATAAACCTTTGGTACAGCTCTCTGTAACTGCACTCTCCATGCCCTGCTCCTGCAGGACTTCCAGGCATGAGAAGGGGCCCCCAGTACAAAAGGAAGTAATGCAAAGAAGAGAGTTCATGCTCCCTGCATCCCTACAACTGCTCCAGGGAACAAATGTCTGTATGCAGCCTCTAGAGATAAAATCAATGCTTCCCTTGTCACAGGTCAGCCAACGTGCTGGGGAGCGATCTCGATGCTGGCTGAGCTCAGGAATGTCTCTGTGTTTGGAATCTGCACAGAAGGGAGAATTCATCTTCAGTAACAAACTGCATCTGTATCCCACCCTTAAAATGTTCCTCGGGGATCTTGGACGCGCTAAAAACACTTCTGCGGAAGGTTTTTAAAGCTTTGATCCCAAAAGAAATGTTTTCTCTTTGATACTGCACACAAATAAGATAGTATAAACAACAAAAATAAGTTATATAACCCAACAACCCTCTTCACGGTCTGGAACCAAGAGTAATTTCACCACACACAAGCTGGGTCTCATCAGTACCTGTTTGCATACAAACATGTGCCTCCAAAGCAAAGGCCACGGCTGCAGACCCTTCATATCACTGTCCTTCAAGCCCCAGCTCTTTCAAAATTGTATTGCCAGAGTCCTGGAGATGTAAAATTTGCCAGCACAGAGGGATACGAGAGACAAAGAAACTGAACAGTGCCAGCATCTTTATAGTTTTTTACATAAATACATGTTTACACTTTTATGTAGGTATTTAAGAGCAAACTCAGGTACAACTCCTCATACTTCAAGGAAAGCCTTTTAAAAGTCTTTAAACAGATTGGGAACTCTCTAGTGGCATTTCCAGCATTTTGTGTTTGACAAGCTGACAGGGGCCACTGACTCAGCCTACTTGTACAGTTGTATGTTCTCCACTGTATAAGTAAACATGGGAATTCGGGATTTGCCATTGTTTTGTCATCACGGCACTAAGTACATCAGATTCAGGCAAGGATACTAATAATCTCACACTTATATGACTCTTCTTTTCCAACTTGCCCTGCCACCTCTTTTCCTGGAATCTTCCCACTACAGAAGTTGCTATGAAAGCCTCATTTTGAGGGCAGAAGTGACACTCATCTCATACTCCTCACAAAGAAATAGTTTTCGAATTAGTGGTGGTGATATTTTTATCATATTCACAAGCTGCTTTAAAAATACTGTTAAAAATACCACCTCCAAACACATTTAAACCACATTTCTGAACACTAACAAATATTATATGCATTAAATATTATCAGGTAGTGCATACTGTAGGTAAAAATTATAGGAAACATTAAAAATACAGAAAATGCTTTGTATCCATAATACAGTGAATTAACTATATTAATTAACTGCAGACTCACCTAAAAACCGTGTTTTCATTATAATGACTTTGAATTTTGATATGTTCTGTAATAAGTCTTTTGCTTCTTAAGTAATGACTAATTTTATATGCAGAGTCGATGATGACTTACAAGGTAAAATGAGTAATACTATTAAAAACTGAGTGGAGGGCAAGCAAATACTTAGCGAACAATTAGCAGATTCCCACTAAATGACATTGTTAATGAACTCTCATAATGAAGCCAAAGCACTCACTTGAGCATAGACACACAGAGCGATGAACAAGAGATACAATTCATGCAGGTGAAATGCAGAGGTGAAATGAAAATGAATAAAGGACTCTTCTAACATCACAAAATACTTCCTAAAATAGCACTTTCCTTAAATCTTTGCACAGAGTTCCTGTGGATGACACCTTCTCAAGACTTTTGGCTACTTCCAATTTTCATAAAGTTTTTATGCAAATACGAGTCAGCACTAATCTCACTCACTTCCCCTTTTGAAATGTGGCCAAACCAACCGCGACACCTGATTTTGTCCTCCCTTGCTGTTTTCTGGGGTGTCGTGCTGTGCCTACCCAGGACACCCACTGTATGTTCACCTTTTCAGGACACCTTTGCTGGGCACAATCTGAGACCACAAGCTCAATCCTGGCAGGAGAAATAGATCCCAGCAAGGTTGTAAGGGGAGAGGCTTGTGGTGTTTGGGCACAAGTGCAGTGAAGGTGAGAAGACAAGCCAGCAAAACCTGAGTATAAGAAACCACTTTTGGTCCTCTTACTTGAACAGATCTGTGCCTGATGTAAAACAGAGTAAGGAAGGGAATAGGTAGGATCATACTGTCTTGTAACTTGCACAGATGTTCATAAAGAAAAGTCAGATTTAAAACTACCTGGAAGTAAGTATCCACTTAATTCTTACATATTTGCTAAATTACATCAGGCACCTGTTATTCTGCCAGGGATCAAAGATTTCTCCTCCTACAAACATACAGGCATTGACATAGAGAACATTTTAGAATGCACTCTTTGCCAGAAACAACAGAGCATTATATAATACTGGGTTTTATGTAAAAGAGAAATCTTTATCCTTTAATGAGCCACACTGAAGAATGGCAGCTTGAAGCCATTATATATGTATGCTGTAATTGTTAGGTACTAAAAACTTGGAACGCTCCAGCAGTAACACACCAAGACATCCATGCAGGCAAGGACAAGGGGAGTATAGAAAAAAGGAGCAGTGGTGGCCACCATATTTTGCTGCCACTCAGTTCCCAGGCTTTATCCCAGCAGATATTCTTACAGCAACGTTAACATTCTACTTCAGAGTGGAAATCTTTGAAGTTTCACCTCTATTAACGGAGCAAACTCAAGCCAGCTACACCATAGCTCTCAAAAACAACAGAGAAACACGAAAAGGTGTGAGTGTTGAGGGTAACAATAACAGCCAAATTTCCTGTAAACCTTCTAAGAACATTATAATTCATTTTCATTTGATTTAACAATGTACGTGGGGGAAGACAACTCTCAGCAAAACAAGCAGTTCCAAGCTATTAATGCTAAGGAGTTTTAAAGCTTTTCAGTTTGGTCAGCATTCAAATAACATAATAACAAACCACGACAGCAAGTATGGGAGACTGCTCCATGGAACGGTTTGAACTGGTGAGTTTAACGAATACATAGAAAATTCTGAACAAAACTGTTCTAAGGGTACTGTTTTTTCTTTACTCATGGTATTAATTTGCCCTGTTGAACTGTGGAATACTGCTGAGCACAAAACAGCCAGTTTTAAACCTCCTTCAGATTTCAACAGTCTTCAACAGAAAATCACACTGATTTGTGCTCTTGTATAGGTGTTTGCTGCATGTTTCTCAGATTAATAATAGGTCACAATTGCACACAAAGAGTGGCCAATGTTCCATTTGGTTTATGTCTAAAACTAGTTTTGAGTTTTCCTGCCTTTTTCTCACACCAAAATGTGTGTGCATAAGCCAGGCAATGACCACTGTCAAAAAATCAATCGCGGGTGATAACTACTCTGGGTTTTCCCACAACCCCACCATCAGTCCAGCAACACCTGAGAGCATTAATCACAAGTATCTTCATCAGATAAATAGTGTAAAATACATCACCTGTGAGTGACCGTCTCCTGCTTCTAGTTGACTCACAGTCAGAGGAGCACGCTGTAAATTTGGACCAGGGCGTAAATGTGCAGTCATCTTTGCAGGGAACGAGGCACTCCTGGACAGGGGATGGCACAGCTCCTGCCCACCGCACGCAGTCACCAACGTCGGCAGGGCCATCCTGCTCCGACAGGCACGTGACAGCTGAAAGGAAAGGCACAGGGATCTTTATATTCTGGCATATATTGTATCATACCCTGTGCAGTCACTCCCTGTGTTCTGTGTGTGATTCACTCTCCTGGATTAACAGAATGAAGCTGATTTGTTTTTAGTCATTATTCATGGGTCACTCAAAGATGTCCCAGGAGCTCCACAAAACCATAAAGACACTTTCTTATTTGAGCAGTGTGTTATCAGAATGGTGATATAAATTCAGTATTTTCAAGGAGGCGGTCATTTTAAGGGTTGTGGCAACAGTTTAACCAATGATACATTGTACGACCAAGCAAGAAAACATATAATACTGTGGTTATGTGCCAGAAAACATATTTGGTCTAGGCCAGGATTCACAAGCTCTGATGCACATGGTACTCATGGAACTGAAATTGCTTCAAAGGAAGAAAAAAGAATTTAAAAACCATAAAAGAAAGCTTCCTTCTCCAAAACTGACATCTTTTTCATATTTTAGATTAAGGGAACGACTGAGCAGCAAGAAGCTACAGCTAAATGCTTCTTGCAGCAAGATGTAAATACAAGGTCTGGCTTCTCCAAACTGAGCTCCCTAAATATTATGCTACCTCTTCCACTCTTGCATTCTCTGCCCGTTGTCCTTTTTAGGACTATAATGATTAATTTTTCAGGGTGGATATTGGCACTTTATAGCCACGATGGAGGGCAAAAAAGTATTTAATGTATAAACCTGAGTCACAGGAAGCCTAGGATAAAATTTGCTAAAGTTTCAGTGAATTTATAATAAGTAATTATAATAAATAAAAATAGCCTGCACATCATGGAGTCTTTCATTTCATTAATAATAATTAGTTCTCACAAAATCTCCAAGATTATAGGCTATTTATACCCTACAGTGTAGGTTAAACAAAGCAAAGGAAGGTCGTCACTTGATTATAGAAATGAACTCAGGGACAGAATAAGGAACTGAATTTGGCCACAAGACTCTTGTCATGTCGGGCTCTCTCATTTCAGGCAAGTCCACACATTGCATCATAAAGGCACTGAAGATGAAATTATTTAATCCAGATTTTAATATTTAACCTTAACAACCTGTGATATTATTTTATGATGACTGCTAAATAATTCAGGTTTCTGAGGCTGCATATAGTTTTCCTTGTTGCCACCACTTAATGTGACTAGGAACGCATGAAGAGAAAGGGAAAAAGAACTCTGCTTTCTTGCAGTTAAAGGACTTACTGGGGTGTAACTGCAATAAATACACATGATTTGGGGGTTTTAACTACAGTACTGTATGGGAGCAAGGGGTGGGTTGGCAACCATCTGGAAATAAAAAAACATCTTATTAAAATGTGATTAGATTTCTGTGGAAAAAAAAAATCAGCATTTTGAAGAGCATGCAAAAGGCAAGCAATTGTTAAAAGTCTCTTTAGACTCAAGTGACAGCAAATCAGCATATTAATATCTACCTCCAAATTGCTGATCCTTGCCTTTCACTTTCAATCCCGTGACCCTTCCCAGCTCCCAACTCCGGCAGTCAGACCCGGAGCCGTTCCCCTTCTCAATTACGGGAGGGCAAGGACTGAGGTCAGGGCTCTGTATGGGGACGTGGTGTAATTGCCCTCTTCAGGAAGGTTAAACAAGTAATAGACTCTGATGCCCAAGGTCTGTGTAGCCTCATTACCTTCAGCAAGGACACCACAGATTTGGCAACACGGATGTGTCCCCGTGAAGTCTGGCCAAGGATACACAAACCATCTTCTCAGCATCGCTGCAGCTGCTGGCAGGGGCATGAGCACCACCCTGCACTGCCAACCCCATGCAGCCACACTTGTGATTGCACAGCAAATAAAAAAAAAAAAATATTTTTCACGGTTTTCGGCACACAAATAATTCACTGAGTTTGCTGAGTCTATCTGGATGCTAAAACAGATGGATATATCGAGACATACAGGATCAGGGCAAATCTTTGCCAGACATCATGGAGATTAAAGAGATTGGTGACAATAGACATATGCGTAGAGCAAAGTTGAATTAAAAAAGCAAATAATATAGTGCATTATAGATGTATAGGCATGGAGACAAGAAGGAGTTGAAAAGAAAATATAATGGATAGTCTAGTAAGAGACATAAGACTTAAAGGAGGATCTCCTGTGAGGTGATTAGGGATGGGCAGGTGGTTTCAAATACAGAATTGCTTCTTTTCTCTACTTTAGGAAATTTGTAAACGCAGATCATGTAACTCAATCCAGTCATTCCTGACAGAGCAACAAAGCCTCTGTGCCAGCGAGAAGGCAGCAGCCACAGAGTAAGGAATCCAAAAAGCTTTTCTCGATGCCTAAAATAGTGGCACTGGAGAGCAAACACTTCACTTGCATCCCACACTCCTGGACTTCCACACTTCCCAATGCCATCACTGTTATTACTGAGTTGCAGATGGGCACCTCTGTGGTGACCTGACCTGCATTCGTGTCACTTTGTGGGGAGAGCAGGCACTCCTCATTTCACATAACATCATAAAATGCCAGCCACAGGCACCTGGTTACCCCTACATACCCCACACCTCCTCCGAAGCAACAGAGGGCATTTCAGTCATATTAGGAGGCAATTCATTTCCACCCAAGAGCCTGCAAACATCTTCAAAACTACGCCAGTGCATGACTTCTTCAGTCTAAACTGAATTATCTTCAAAAGCATGAGCTTAATAGGCCTGATCTTTGCAGCATGTCAGTCACAAGCGATAGCAGCATTTCTGCTACATGCTTACAACCATGCTTGAGGTGAGCAGCATGAACTGCTAAAATAAATTAAATAATAAAACAAAAGCCCATTTAGGGCATTTTAATGGATTGAGAAGGGGCAGGCAGGAAGCAGCAGAGATGATGGAGCCATTCCAGTGGTTCAGTTGGGAACTATTCCCCTCGTTTCTGTCTGCTGCAAACTTACTCCCCAATTTAGTTAGCTTTAACTTCTAAGAGAAAAATATTTTCATATACAGGCACTTCTGGAAAGAGAATGAGAGAAATTTGTTTTCAGTGAACCTCCAGGAAAGTAAAATTATTTATCCTCGGTGGTTTCAAACTACTGATTGGTTTGGCTCATATGTGGTTTATGTTGCATAAAAAATATTTCCCCTTAATCCTCAGTTCTGTCACAATGGTTTTAAATAAACTCATACTGCAAAGCCATTTCTGCTATGTCAACATCTGTTTTGTTTTTTTAAGGGGGATACCACTGGAGAGTAAATGCAGTCCATTTGCAGCCCTGTGCACCGAGGGAAAAAAAAAATAAAATCAGAGTTATAAATCCCTCCTAGACATAATGTGTGATTTCTACCATCTCTGCAGCATTTAAAATGGACACAAACATATGAATAAAACAGCTAATAACAGGACACTGCCAGATAAAGGCTTTCGAATTATAATATTGATTCCCACAAAGAGGGGAAATTCAGGATTTCCTTTTCAACTCCCACTATTCTTTTTTATTACCACCAGTCAACACCACCAAACTGGAATTAAACACTTGGGGCCAAACTGTGAGATGACATTTTAATGCAGTTCTGTTGATATAAAAAGAACTGCTGGCACAAAAATAAAAGTACACCTTCTCTTGTAATGATAAACACAAGATCATGAATTAAATTGAAAGGTAGGCAGGTTTAAGAGGCTAAAAGAAAATAACTTTTTGCAAGAAAGGGCTGGAATTGTTTAACAGACCATGTGGATACATCTGTGAAGGTGCCAACAAAGCTCAGCAATTAATATGAGCAGTGAAAATACTGCAGATGCAACTGCTTTGCTTCAAGGCATCAGTCAAGTGCTAAATGTACAGCTCGGGGAGGAAATTTCCCTTTCTGCTGCTACAGGGTCCTGCTGGGAGACTGAACAAGGACTGCTAACGGGATACTCAGTGCGACAGTCTCCACCTTCTGGCTTTATATTTCCGCCCACAAGAGCGTGTCTGTGTCCCAGCACCTCAGCATATGGCACACAGGAGCATATGGAAGCTATATTCTTTAACTACATTTCCCTCAAATTGAAAGCAAACAGCAGACACTTGTTCCATAAACTTTTAGATGGCGAAATGAAATGTTTGTACGCTGCCAAGCTGCAGAGGCGCTGAAGGCATCCGTCCTTACGTCCTCACCAAAGGATGTCAGCATCAAACTGGGGCGACTCAGGGGCCCTCAGGTGCACAGGACTGACTTAGAAGAGCACTCGAGATGGTCCTAACGAAAGGAAGTGTATTGAAAATGAAACATTAAAGGCACAGCGTTGCATCCAGTAAGGAAAGATAACATAAATATAGTTCCTCTTAAGTAAAAATCCAATTACAGACAGATGCTGCAATTGTATTCATTTACTAAAGTTATAACCAATTCTCCTTTAAAAATGCATTTCAACGGATTCCAAAGGGTAAAAAGCTAAAGAGTGAGAGTATCAAACGCCAACCAGTAAAATTATATTGTACCGTGGCACTTTCAATTTGTGAAAACTAAATTAGTGTTTTCAAAACTCTGGAATTAGATGTCATTAGAACAACTGAAAACAATGACTGATAATTCCGGGAAGGTACACTCAGGCCAAACAAACTAAAGCTATGCAGTAGTGCAAATCAAATGGCTGAAATTAGCACAGGAGCAACAGGATGAGCTATGAGGTTAGACAAGAGCTCTAACACCCAAGAGCTGCAGGCACAACAAGGTAACAATCTTCCCTGGCTTTAAATTCCAAGTATGTGTGAAAAATCAAAGCCAGCACATAAAGTCAAAGATGTTATTTTAATATAGCTTTTTTTCCTTCTCATTGTTCAGAAAAAATATCTCATTTTGTGTTGCACAAGTATTCTAGGTATCCCAATATAATAAAATAACATAACGGTAAGTGAAAAAGAAGTTAAGGGGTAATATGTTCAAAAAAAAAGGAAATAATTTAAGAGTCCAGACTTGCTGACTACAAGAGTACTCTCAAAACTCACGGTGACCTCATTTATTTTCTGTATTGATGCTCCTT